GTTTGGGGGGGGTGAAGAGGGGATACAACATGTTTAGTATCAAGTGCCAAAAGGATCTCTGTAATTTCAATCGATTTTTTTCAAGGAAATAAAAAAAAAAAAAAAAGAAAGAGACGATGGGAACAGGATGAGTCAATAATGGTTTTATTATGGTATTTAAGTTTCATTATGGTATTCATTCTTTCATTGACTTAACACTGATTAAACAACCTTTAAGCCAATTTCCCAGCATCTACTCTTGCCCCTTCCAATCCATATCCCCCTCCCCCCAGTTTGAGATATTGTTTAAACAACTCGGGTCTTGTCACTCCTCAGCTTCAAACCCTTCAAAGCCTTTTGATTGAGCTTCTTCTGTTTGGGCATCTGGCACCATGTCATGAGACTATGTGATGAAAAGGGGAATGAAGCGTGGTCCTGTTTTGGGACATTAACAGCCTGGTGCAGGAAACTGTATTTCAAAGAGCTGTGAAGAGCTATGGTTGGAACTGATTCGATGGCAATGGGTTTAGTTTTAGTTTTGTGTGTGTGTGTGTGTGTGTGTGTGTGTGTGTGTGTGTGTGTGAAGAGCTAGAACAGAGAAGTGGGCCAAGTGCTATGAGCACAGAGAAAAGTGAGAAGGGGAGTTGAGAAATGTTTCAAAGAGAAAATAACACTTGAGATAGATCTTTAAAAATAAGGATGTGGCACCAAGTGGGAATAAGGAGAAAAGGCATACGGGGTTGGGCATCTGCATGTCCAGCCCAGAGCCAGGAAAAACATGGTTGTCTCGGAAGTGGAAAAGAGCTTGGCACTGCTGGACCACAGGGTGGAAAGGAAAGGTTAAGTTAGAACCAGAGGGTTGAGAACACTATATGGTGCAGAAACCTTGAAAGAGTTGCATCAAAGGTTTTTTAATTAAGGGAGTCACATAATTAGATCTTTTTGAGAGATGTCTCTGATGATGGCAGGAGAGAGATCAGACCACAGAAGAGATGATAAAGAGCTGAGATCAGAGGAGTGGCAGAGAGGATAAAATGAAGACTGGATATGGTGGATAAGAGAGGCTGGAGCTGAGGTTTATCTGAGAGGTCTAGCTTGTGTCACTGGGTAGATGCTCTTGCTCTTAGCAAAGATCTGGAAAGTAGGAAGAACAATAGTGACCGTAGCCGCCAAGCGTTAAAACCCCAATGGTTAACTGTACTCAATTGTTCAATGATTTGAGTATAAATTTATTCCACACATTAAATTCCTCAATATATGGGTTCATAACCCTTCCATGTCAAAATATAACCATGAGTCAAAAAACAGCCTTGAATCAAAAGAAGTTGTTTTTCTTTCTGTTTAAAAAGAGAAGCCCTTCTCTGAAATAACCTTGGACAGTGTGTATTAATCTTGAAAATTATAAGAACCTAGAGCTAGAAAACAACATTAAAGATGTTCTTCTATGAACTTTGTCCAAAGTTACAAAACTGGTTGTTGGCAAAGTCAGAGCCAGAACCCAGGGCTCATGACTCCAGCATGTGGATCTTAATACATCCAGGTGTCAGCAGGGAGGAGGGGCCGTGACAATGACCCAAAAGGAGGCTGAATCCCTCCCATTATTCTACTGCTTCAAAGAAACCTTACTATTCAAATCAGAAAGGAAAACAGATCTTAGCTTGGGCTTCTGACAAGAAGTTTTTCAAACAGTAGGCAATCTAGGGATTAGTTTCAAATTGTAATCTATAGGACCACTTTAACAGTTAATGCTTGCTGAATATCAACAGCACCCTAAGAGAAGTTAAAAACAGTAAAGAGCATTTCCTGATCATCTGACATTTCCTACATTCTTATTTTATTTTGGGCCAAGGCACCCAAAGGCTTCAGGAATAATTAGCACGTATATCAAAACAATTTTAATCCTGTCTTCAATTGAGAAAAAGACCAGAAAATATCTATGCTGCACACAAATCTCAATAATTGTGCAAAGATGATCTCTAAAGTAATTTTTGTTTACAACGTAAAGACTAGGAAGTTAAAGAGAATACTAATAAAATAATTTTAATTGACAATGTTGAAAACATGCAAGAAATGTAATCATGTATAATGGTGAGTTACTATATTTTTTAATCGCCTTATATGCAGGAGAAAAATGGACAATTGATAAGGTAGACAGAAGAAGAATTGATGCCTTTGAATTATGGTGTTGGCAAAGAATATTGAATATACCATGGACTGCCAGAAGAATGAACAAATCTCTCTTGGAAGAAGTATAGCCAGAATGCTCCTTAGAAGCGAGAATGGCTGAGACTTGGTCTCACGCACTTTGGACATGTTATCAGGAGGGACCAGTCCCTGGAAAAGGACATCATGCTTAGTGAAGTAAGGATCAGTGAAAAAGAGGAAGACCCTCAACAAGATAGATGGACACAGTTGCTGCAACCATGGGCTCAAACATAGCGACGATTGTGAAGATGGCGCAGGACTAGGCAGGGTTTTGTTCTGTTGTACACAAGGTCTCTATGAGTCGTAACTGACTTGACAGCACCTAACAACAACACGCAAAAATATAAGTTAAGGCTTAATAACTCATATTGTAACGGTGCTCTCGCTACAAAGGGACATTCATTGAGAGGGAAAGTCAGGACAGATCTCACCATCTTCACAGCCCAGAACATTGCCGTAACCATTCATTAATGTTAGGCTAACAGGACACCTAGGAAAACACATCAGCAATATCACAAGCTGTGGCATAACGGCAAACCAAGCCAAAACATTTAAGACAAGTCAGCCAGATTTGTCCTATGGGCTATATAGTTCATTGCAAGTACTGTAAAAGCCATTCTGTGTCACATATTTTAAATTGTTCTGATGAAATGCAAAGAACAGAAATGTAAGAATGTTTTTCTAACATTACAAGAATAGCACTTACTTGAGAAGGGTGAGTTAGGAGTACTGAATCAGAGCTATGTGATATAAGTTCTGTTTTTTGTGAGGTCAGCAGGTCAGATAAAACCTTTTGGATATTAGTAGGAAGGAACCTCAGCATTTCTCTCGTTATTTAGCTGGTGAATGTTCACAGTGCTTGCTGCAGAATTGTCTAATCAGGAAAGATCACCCTATTCACTTCTGCATCATCCTGATTACGGATCCTCTTGCTATCTCCTTGAAAACTGATCTACCTACCCCTTTTACATACTGAGGCTTAGAAAAATTAGTTGGCCAAAAGTGTCACAAAATCTTAGGCAATTAAAGCTGTGTTATGCTATGTATATGGTTAAACCAAAAAAACCAAACCTGTGGCCGTGGAGTCAATTCCAACTCATAGCGACCCTATAGGACAGAGTAGAACTGCTCCATAGGGTTTCCAAGGAGCACCTGGTGGATTCGAACTGCTGACCTTTTGGTTAGCAGCCAAACTCTTAATCACTATGCCACCAGCATTTATATGGTTAAAGCAGTTCCTAAAGCAGGGTTCCCAAACTGTTGATTCATTCAATTATAAATACCAGCCTTGTCTAATACGGTTACTATAGGCTGGCTGTGCTATGTATGTTTTTGGTAAGATGGATTTAGTTCCTCAAGACAAGGTATGAAATAAAGGATAGATAGGGCTGTTTAAAAAAAAAAAAAAAAAAAAGAAAAAAAGGCTAGCAAATTATGGCGTTGCAAATGTTATATAAATTATGACATTTACCTTACTGACGGAACTGCTTTATTTTTGTTATTTTTGTTAACTTTGACCCTGGTAGTTGCTGTGAATCAAATGGTACTAAATTGAACACAAATAGAAACTGAGAGATAACAAGGTATAGTCAAAAGAGCATTGAAGTAGGTGTCAAGAAATCTAGTTCCTAATGTAATCACTTGAATAAGAAAACATAACATTGTACAATGTACAACATACACAAATAAGAAGTATTGTCTACTATTCTAATGCATGGGAAAAATTTTTTTTTTTTCAAATTAGGTCTATCATCTTTTTATACCTTTAGTGCAAGAGCCTTAGTTTAACTAGGAATGTCAAAGCTATACAGCTGCTAGATAATTACAGAATTTAACTATAGACAGAGTTAACAATTAATGAGTATATTTAAATTTTCCTTTGACTGATACTCCACTGATTCAATGTTTTCGTAACCACTTTAGCGTATGAAATGACATTATCAAAGTGGTCTAATAAATAACTATACCAGTCAGCACTACAGTTTCTTCAACTTAATTTTAGCATTAAAAATATCATTTTCCATATTGCCTGGATTCAGAATTCTGTTCCAAGTCAAACATTGAGAAGGACCTGGAGAAAGCAGTGACCTCCTGGCATGCCTGGAGAAGGGTCATCCTTCAGATACTGAAGATGCTGAAGGGACAGACTAGGAGTCAGTATTCCTGAAACCCTCGGCATTGATCCTTGCAATAGTGGAGGATCCTGTCTCTTCACACAGTGAGAAGAGAAAAGGGGCACAACCTAAAAGCAGGTATCCACAGTGCACTACGTCCCTGAGGCCCAGGTAAAAGAATTCCAGTTGAGAAACAGCATTTGGGGTGACTGTTATTACCTCCTCTCTTTAATCCATTAATCTTGCACCGTTTCAGGTTCTCTGTGTGACATACACTACTGAGGGCCACAAAGAGTTCTAACAGTGGGTTTTGTTTGTCTGAATGCATACAGTGCAGATAGAACATGAAATGTGTCAGGGCACAGTGGCCTTTGCATTGAGAGTAATCAGCACTCTCAAAGTTACTCACTATCAGATAAGTAAAACACACAGTCAGTAATCCAGAATAAGAGTTCCCCACTGTCTGCTTTTTAGCCCTTTCTACCAAAGGAATTCCAGAAGTAGCTTTTAGCTTGAAGGGAAAGGTTACAGACTCCGGCTGAAGCCTCACCCCTCACCACCATACACACACCCACATATCTATACACCCAAATATGCCTGCACATGCACACACGTCCCCTCCCTCAGTAAGGCTTTAAATAGTTTTAAACTATCAGCCACAGAGAAACTTTGTAAAACGAACACCCAAACCTAAGTCATTACCTCCAGGGAGTCACTTTCACAATCCCCTTCCTCGGCGCTTCTCCCCTTCTCTTCAGTAATGGTATTCACCATTTCAAAAAACCTACAATGAAAGTTGGTATGTGGTCACTCATAACACATACAAGATTCAAATACAGGCAAGTACATTCCAAAGCAACTTCAGAGAAAAGAAATGGGGGCTACGAGAGTAACTAAAACCCAGCAAGCGACAGACCATTAGCGTCAGTGAGAAAAATATGATCCGTCAAAGGAAACATAAGTTGGCAAGATTTGCTAGAAATATCTGATCTAATGTCTCACTTCAAACAACGTAACATTATAGAATTAGAACAATGAAGCTAGACAGGTAGTAGAAATGTTAAGAATGTGGATATTCTTGGATATCAGATCAGGATTGTTAGTATCTGTGTGATCTTGGGCAAGCTCCTCTACCTCTCTGAGCCTCACCCCTCATCTATAAAATGGAGAATATACAAGTACCTATCTCATAGGTTAAGAGAGCCCTGGTGGCGTAGTGGTTAAGCACTTGGTTGCTAACCAAAAGGTCAAAGGTTCAAACACATTAGCTGCCCCACAGGAGAAAGATGTGGCAGTGTGCTTCCATAAAGATTTATAGCCTTGGAAACCCTATGGAGCCGTTCTACTCTGTCCCATAGGGTCACTATGAGTCAAAATTGACTTGATGGCAATGGGTTATCTCATAGGTTGTTGTGAAGGTGCCTCGAGGTAATATATGTAAAGTGGTTAACACAATGCACTCATTAAATATTAGCTATTATATTATTATTTTGCTGCAGTTAATATTTAAAATACGACAAAACAAAAATATTTATATTCTGGAATGTTGTTGTTGTGTGCTGTCAAGTCAATTCGAACTCAGGGCAACCCCATAGGGCAGAGTAGAACTGCCCCACAGGGTTTCCTAGGCTGTAATCTTTATGGGAGCAGACTGCCAGGTTTTTTCTCTCGTGGAGTAGCTGGTGGGTTTGTGCTGCTAACTTTTTGGTTAGCAGGTGAGTGCTTCACCGTTGCAACACCAAGGCTCCTTATATTCTAGGAAAAAAAAACCCATTGCCATCGAGTCAATTCTGACCCATAGCGACCCTACAGACAGAGTAGAACTGCCCCATAGGGTTTCCAAGGAGAGCCTGGTGGATCTGAACTGCTGACCTTTTCGTTAGCAGCCGTATCTCTTAACCACTATGCCAGCAGGATTTCGGGTTCTGAAATAGAGTTTCTAAATTCTGAGGTGACTAGTTGATACACCTTTGGTCCCTACAACATTTGATCTCAGCTACTAAATCTGCGACCTGAGTACCTCAATATCATACACATGAGGTCTCATAAAAAGTCTGTGAAATAGTGATGCGAACTAGTAAAGGCTGGCTTATACATTGGTGACAGAAACCACCTCTCTTTTGGTGACAAAATAAACATTTTTCCTCAGAAACTTGTAAAGTTTTGTTTTGTTTTCCTGGAGACCATTTCACAACCATGAAAAACAAGTACAGCGAGAAACAGATTTGCCCTCTGCAACACAAACTGTGGCTAGTCCGTTCAGAGGGTATGTGAATTGTCCCTAGACATATAGTAAGGGAAGTACTATGCACAAAACCTGATGATCTCACAGGAGATTATGCTGTGCAATGCCAGCAAAGGAAAAGCAGTTTATGGAGTGACCAAAAAAGTTTATCTAACACAACTCAGAACCTTTTTTCCTATCTCTGTACTCTTTTTATTTATCCATGCATCCATGCATCCATGCATCCATGCATCCATCCATCCATCTAGCCATCCATCCATCCATCCTTTCATCCACCCATCATATATCAATCCATTTATCCATCCATCTATCCATCATCGATCCATCCATCCGAGCACTCACCCACCCATCCATCTATCCATCCATCCATCCACCCACCCATCTATCTATCCATCTATCCATTATTCATCCAACAAATACTCATTGAGTGTCTACTAGGCTCAGGAACCATTCTGGCCACTGATGATATGACCATGAACACAATAGAGAAAGTCTATTTTGAGGTTTGGAGTCTATTTGTGAATCTACATGTGCCTACTTCTTCACTCTTTTCTCTACACACTTCATGGAGGACCACGACAAGAAAAAAAAATTCCCCAGCCTGACTGGAATAAAAGCGTGCTCTGATGAAGATTAAATATGATGAGTTAGAGACAAAGTCAAGTTCAACTGAGAGGAGAAAGTGAATGACATTAAAAAAAAAAAAGGGGGTTCGGGGATATATATTTTTAAGCAGGTAGAATTCTCCAAGACACTATTTTTCACTCTTAAATGAAGATATTAATACTACCCCCCTTTTAAGATTTCTTTGAAGATTTAAAAAGACATTAAGTGTGGGGTACCCCATAAAAACCCATTGCCATCGAGTCGATTCTGACTCACAGTGACCCTAAAGGACAGAGCAGAACTGACCCATAGAGTTTCCAAGGAGCGGCTGGTGGATTCAAACTGCTGACCTTTTGGTTAGCAGCCGTAGCTCCTAACCACTATGCCACCAGGGTTTCCAAGTGTGGGGTAAGCATTCCATAAATCTTAGTTATAATTATTATAGAAATAAACCAATAGCCTTGAGAATTTAAGTATAAGTAGAAAAGTAGGCAATACATTTGCTAGGAATTTTTTATTTCTAAGTCTTTTTACTATACATTTTATGATAGTGAGGATAAAATTGTAGCCAAGAATTACGGATTAATTAATTACGGCACCAAAAAAAAAAAAAAAAAAGGTAGCTGATATGTAGCTAGCATATCAGTCACTTATAATGAGGGCAAGTAGGGATTATTTAAATAAGCACAATCCCCAGCAAAATTTTTAAGTCCAAACTGGCTTTTACCTACACCTCAGCTTCTAAAACGTCACTCACTCTCCAGTTCCTCACAGTCAGTCTCCATGTCCTAACGGAACATGAAGTATCTATTTGTTAGCCCAAGAGAAACAAAACCTAGGGAGCTTAACTCAAACGTAAAATGCAGTCCACAGAATTTTAGATTATTTCTTTTACTGGTGTAGATCAGATCACTGGCTCTTAATTCAGGCTGTTCTCCCACCAGAAAATCTGATGCAAGTGGTCTGGGATGAGGCCCAGGACTTTTCTTTTTTTTAAAAGCTCACCAGATGATTCTAGTATGTGCCAGAGTCAAGAAACACTGTTGTAGATAATATTATTCAAAAGAACTCAGAAATTAAAGTTTTGTTAAGCATAAACTATAATAAATGAGTACTTTAAAAATGAAACATAATATCAGACAATTAACAAGTAAGTCTTGGTTAATGTTTCATCTGTGGAAAATAAATTATGACAAATAAAAAGCATATTTTATTAAAGACAGCCCAAAAAGCTCTCTGATGGTTAAACATAACCACATAATTACAAAATATTAACCCAAATAAAATATTTACATAATCACATAACCATGAATTCGTTACAGGAGCTACATGTTCACTCATTAATTAAAAACAATGATTAGGTAAGAATAGTTTTTTCACAGATAAGCGATGACTAATACATACTTTTTACAGTGAAGTTCTGTACAGAAGTAGATTTGGAAATCATCAGAATTATGAAGCACATAAAGAAAACAGCATCGTTCTTCAAATTTAGAAATACTGAAAGAAACAAAAAAGCATAATTCAGGAAAATATCAATACTTTTATGGATCTATAATGAAAAATAAATATCTTTTATATCCAGTCTCAATTCTGATACCAATGTCATATGTAATAAAAAGTTATAAATAGCATTTTAAAAAGCTGATATTCCTTGTGCGACATGCTAAAATTATTTCATATTCTGAGAATTGTCCCCTAATTCATATCTGGAGAGTTGAGATGCTCTCTGCTGTCAAGGAGCTCTCAGCCCAGTAGGGGAACAGACATTTAACAATAATGACAGTACAGTGTGAGATGAGCAATGATAAAAGTACATTCAATGAGCAGAGGTGCTATAAGCACACATAAGCTTTGTGTCCCTCTATCACAGAATGGGCAAGGTCTGCACTAACAACAGCACTAACCTGCCTAATGGGAAGAAGAAAGTGGAAGGCAGTCAAAGCACCTCATTAGTTGTAGAGATTGTAGAGGAGTGAAGAAATGTGGAACAGCATTTTGTTTGGTCTGGACAAGTGGCTCACATTAGAGCCATATGGAATAATTTAGAGTTTATTAGCCAGGCTATACTGTTTTATACCAGGAATTGTCACACTTTTTCCATAATGGGCCAGAGAATAAATATTTTCGGCTTTGCAGGCCATGCCACTCAGCTCTGCCATCGGAGCATGAAAGCAGCCTTAAGCACTACAGGCTTGGAGAAGCCTTAAACGAACATATATGGCTGTTTTTCAATAAAACTTTATTTATAAAAACAGGCAGCAGGCCACATTTGGCCTGTGGGCCAAGGTTTGCTGGCCTCTATTTTATGCCTTTGGACCTGCTGTTCCTTCAATTTTGAATGCCTGCTTATTTTTGGCTTTTTAAAGAAACCTTACTCATCATTTAAGATGCAGCTTAGACCATCCCTCTCTCTCTTTCCTACTTCTACCCTAAACAAAAAGACTTCCTCTTGCACCTCTGCTCTTTGAATGTCATTACTGTTAAATGTCTGTTCCCCTACTGAGCTGAGAGCTCCTTGACAGCAGAGTTCATGTCCTAGTTATTTTTGTGTCCTTAGCAATATTCTTAATATTTGACTCACAGCTGGTGCCCAATAAATGCCCAATGACTTGAACTGAGCAAGTTCTGAGCTGATGCAAGACAAACTGCTGACCTAGTTGGAGTTTCTTCTATAAGTTTGTCATCTCTTCCTCATAGAGGAAGGAGCCAGGAGAAGTTAACTCTGTTTGAAATCACCCACTGGAACTCAAATTCCCCAGCATGCAAACATGCAATAGCCACCTGTAGGCGTTCTATGTCAATGTCATAAATCACAACAAATGCTATGTAGTGGTGTCATACCTAATTAAAGAAAGTCAATTCATTGGAAAGAGAACATGATAAAATGAAATTTATATTTGCCATGCTTTCCTAGATGGATTGCTTAAAAATGCAGCAATAAACAGTGATTGTCTTGCTAGTGACTGCTTTTAAAAATTAAATATTAAGAGAGTAAAGCTTTATTTGAGAAGGCGTCAATTGGAAAGATATATAATGAGTCAGTGCATAATCTTGCTTGTTTTTGTTCAGATCATTCATGAGGTAACAGGTGGTTTTACCAGGCAAACTCCAATTATCAATGACTCAAACAGCTCTACCAGTTCATGCTCCAACAAAGACAATTACTATAATTCCAAAAGCAACAGTATATTGCATAACCAACACGCATAAATCTTTTATTTTCTCTCATTTCTATTATGTGGGGATAAATAATAGTTAACTCAACTAATTTGGTGTGAAATTTGCAAGAGTTGGTTTAGCATGCACTTATATAGAACAAGGACTTAAACACTTAATCAATGGCTCTTGATTCTGAAAAATAATCTCATGTCTAAATCCCGGAAATGGCATTTCCAGAGCCACTGACATGATGGCAGTGTCAGAACTGAGCTGAACCACTGTAATCTCTGAAGACCACATGAAGAGTGACCTTAGGAAAAGTAAAAAAAAAGGATTCCTGATAATCTCACTTCATTAATGTTAGCTATAGGACAAAACCTAGCAAATGGCAAGTATGTTTTAGATCCTTATGAGTGGAGATTAGTTCCTGGAATTCCAAACGGAACTTTAAATCATCCTAAACCATAAACCAGCAGCTCAACCAGACAAAGCGGAGCCCACGTGGCTCACTTTTATTTACACCTTGCTTCTGGTCCACAGTTCACATTTACCGTTGAGTCACCATATTTTAAGAGGGTGATTAAGCAAAGTCGATTCTCCCAACAGTGAAAGTTTTGTTGCAGAACTAGTCATAATGGAGACAGTGAGACTGAAGAAGATTGAGCATTTCCACCAAGAGAAAGATTCTTGAAGTTCTTTGCATTTTTTTTTTTATCAGGACTAAAAGCCCTATCTAAGCCATGAATAGCCCAGAAAAATGTCTTATAAAGAAACAAAGTGTACCAATGACACTTACCTCACTCCCCTGACAGAAGAGGCACTGAAATTCCACTCATGTATACCTTTCTAGAACACAGGGGACAAACAACAACAAAAATGCTGAGTCATTCAAATGGAAAACAAAAAACAATAGTAATAACTTTATTATTTTCAAATAATACACAGGGTAATTTTTTCCTAGTGCATAATTCTTCATGAATAAATTATCTGGATGGAAACTGTAATTTTTTCTCAAGCCACAAGAGTAATGTTCACTCTACCTAGTAATTCCTGTGCTTTCATGTGGCCTGAGAATAAAACAGCTTCCTAAAGAGTCTAGAAGAAGTATTGTTACTTGCCATTAAGTTGATTCCAACTCATGGCGACCCCATGTGTGCAGAGCAGAACTGCTCCACAGGGTTTCAAGGCTGTGACCTTTCAGAAGCAGACAGGCAGGACTGATTTCTGAGGGGGATCTCAGGGTGGGTTCGAACTGCTAATCTTTTGGCTAGTAGTTAAACGCTTAACCCTTTGCACCACCTATGGACTCCCTAGGAGAATTAGTCTCATTAAATTTCAACATTTGATTTTTAGCAGATTAACCTAATAACTGTTCTGCACTAATTTCTTAAGAGAAAAAAACAACACAGTGATCAAAGTAATTCAATTACAGCTAAGCAATATGTCTTTCCTGAGAAAGAAAAACATTAATTTGAATAAACTCTTTGCAAGGTTTAAAGACAGTTATTTGGTTCTGAGTTATCTTTATGTAAACTTTCAAGCTAAAATCATAATCATATTTATTCAGAAAATAGTGCAAATATGTATCTGTGTGTGCACACGTGTATTGTGACCATAATATCGACAATGTTTATTACCTAATTTATGCAAAATTCAATATACTAATAAAGGTTAAACATAAAAGATTTGATGATCATATGATAAACATGGGTGATTTGCAGGGCAAAGATGAAAAAAATGTGGGAATTTATTTCCTGAGTTTATTACTAAAACTGAGTTAAAATTAATATTAAATGTATATGTACCTAAATTAATTAAATTGCAACATGGATCACATTCCTTATAAAAATATAAATCTGACAACAACATAGAATTAATAGCATATATATTTTATGTATAACTAAACTAATTGAAAGGAGCCCTGGTGGCACAGTGGTTAAGCACTCGGCTGCTAACCGAAAGGTCAGCGGTTTGAACTCAACAGCCACTCCACAGGAGAAAGATGTGGCAGTCTGCTTCCGTGAAGATTTACAGCCTTGGAAACCCTACGGGGCAGTTCTACTCTGTCCGATTGGAATCAACTCAATAGCAATGGGTTTGGTTTTAAAAAGTAGTTGATATGTGTCCAGGTTTAGCAAAACCCCAAAACCAAACCTGCTGTCATTGAGTCGATTCCAACTCATAGTGACCCTATAGGACAGAGTAGAACTGCCCCATAGGGTTTCCAAGGAGTGACTGGTGGATTCAAACTGCAGACCTTTTGATTAGCAGCTAAAGCTCTTAACCACTGTGCCACCAGGGCTCCAGGTTTAGTAAGTACTGTATAACACTAAATTCACACTGAATTCAATTCTGTAAATGTAAAACCACCAAGAAAATAAGCTCTTAGCCACCCCCTTAAAATAATGCCAGGAGGTTGAGGTCTTGACTGGGCAAGTAAAATGGGTAACAAGAGCCTTCTGACTCTGAGGTGGCCCGGAGTTCTCATCTTGGCCAAAGCAACTCAAAAAAGTCACAATTTCTATCCACAGCCTCTAGTTCTTTGCTAGGACCATGCAACTTAAAATAAAATAGATCCTCTCAGGCCCAAAGTAGATTTACTAAAAATCTCATTCCAATGCAGTCAGTCAGGTCACGGGAATGTGTCTGAATTAGCACAGAGCAAATCCTGTTGTGCATGAAGCCCACAGAGCGAGAGACCACAGAAAGATAACCATGGAATGCAGCTCTCCTAACCAGAGTACCCAACCAGTACCAGCTGCCGTGGAGTCGATTAACCAGAGTACAGAGGGAGTTAATTAAAGTAGTGGCCTCAGCTAGTAATTCGGAAAGTTGGCTCTAAATCCTGTTGGCCTCAGGTGAACTTCTAAACATATACAACCCCAGAGCTGCAGCTGTTACCTGTGCACTATGCACACCGTACAGCCTTGTCCTGACAGCCTGTGACTGAGCTGCTTTCTAAGGCCATCTCCAGGAACAGGAGCTGGGGGCTGAGTGCGGAGCTGGCAGGGCCAAGTGTGCAAGCCAGCAACTCCACGCAACAACTGGCACACACCGAAAAGACAGTACTGGGAAAAATATCTTTCATCAGCCCTGTTCTCGTTGTAGCCAAAGAGAGATTTCCCACATTGGTTGGGCTGGTTGATAGGTAAGGAGAAGAGCATTTCCAGAGTTTAGGTTCCTGAAAGGCTGCAAGTGCTGCCAGCGAATGTTCCATTTCTGGGCCAGAGATGGAGTGATGGGGAATGAAAAAGCCTCCCTCCTTCCGCCCTTTCTACTAGGACTCACCACAAGGAGGCGCTACAAAGCCAAGAGGTAAGTTAAAAGGCTGCTAGAGCCTGTCTAAGAAGCACAGTGGTTAAGCACTTGGCTGCTAACCAAAAGGCCAGAGGTCTGAACCTACCAGCTGCTTCATGGGAGAAAGATGTGGCAGTCTGCTTCTGTAAAGATTACAGCCTTGGAAACTCTATAGGGCAGTTCTATTCTGTCCTATAGGATCACTATGAGTTGGAATCGACCTAACAGCAACAGGTTTGGTTTGGTTTGGTTTGGGTTTGGGGCCTGTCTGGGAGTCAGGGAAAAAAGAGAGGGCAGAGGGTGAGCTAGAGTGATAATTAGCCCCAGTAGACCCAAACCAACACTAAACCTAATTCAATCAGTGCAAGCCCCGTTTTCTAGGATCTGGTTAGCCCTGGTTCTTGTGCACTGGCCATGGCTAGAACAGGGACCAGGAGCTAAATTCTAAGCTAAGATTGCAGGAGTTATTCTGTGGCAGACGCTGCTGGTTCCCTAGGCAACAGCCATCCTTTCCTTCCCCTCTGCTAATAAAAAACAAATTTGGTTCAGGTTCAGGAGGCAATATGCTTAGGGAAGGTGAAAACTGATTAGTCTAAATCTGCCATGGTAAGTCCATTTCTCTTGCCAGTGATTGGTTTAGGCATGGACACAGGATGCAACTTTTGGTACTAAAGAGAAGGCCTGGCCCTCTGCTTTGGATGCTGTCTGTGTGAGCAGATGCTTAGAGCTGCTGTTTAAGAACATGAGAGAAGAAACTGAGAGTATTATAGAGATCACCTACTGCCAACAAGCTGATTCCGACTTACAGCAACCCTGCAGGACAGAGTAGAATTCCCCTATCTAGTTTCCAAGTCTGTAATCTTTATGGAAGCAGACTGCCACATCTTTCTCCCAAGGAGCAGCTGGTGGGTTCGAACCATCAACCTTTTGGTTAGCAGCCAAGCACTTAACCACTGTGCCACCAGAGCTCCTTATTATAGAGATGCCAGCTCAGAACTGTTAATCCACTGAAATCACTTCCACCTCTGAACTGATTATAATTTGAGACGTTTTATTATTATTTAAGCCACTTTTAGTTGGGAGGAGTCCCTGGGCAGTACAAACAGTTAATAAGCTATGCTGCTAACTGAAGGGGTGAGGGTTCAAGTCCACCCAGGGGCGCCTTAGAAAGGCCTGGTGATCTACTTCTGAAAAAAATCAGCCATTGAAAACCCTATGGAGCACAGTTGCACGCAGACTTTCTTCAAGTACTAACTTGCTTTAAGCAGCAATAATCCATTGACCAAATGAAGAACTGTCAAGAGATTGGGATTTCAATTAATTCTGCCCCTGAATATAGACTATAACACTCTAAGAATCCCTAAACTCTTGGGAATTTCACAATGAACTTGAAGTATTAAAAGCTGCAGATATAGCATGTAATTGTTCATTCACTGTTTTAGAATGAAAATACTGAGAGGGAGAGAGTAAAGAAATAAATATAATAAATGAAAAGCAACGTTTTCTGTTGTTTTACTAACTTTTAGAAAAATTAAAAACATATTCAATGACAAAAACAATCAATTTTCTATTTAACATAAAACCTATTAAACCTGTTGATTATGTTATTTAATTATAGGTAATGTAGTTCCTTTAAACTAACATAGTAATAATAAAGCTTTCTTGATTTTCTTGCTTGTCATACTCATTTTACTATTTCTATTTTAAAAAATAGAAAAAATGGCAATGGTAAAGAACACACTTTGGATAGAATGAGGGTTTGCAAAGAAATTGACATAAATTCAAAATGAAAAGTATGTATGTAAGAAAGTTTAAATTTTTTTTTGTGAAAACTTTTTTTTTATTGTACTTTAGATGAAGGTTTATAGAACAAATAGTTTCTCATTAAACAGTTAGTACATATATTGCCCTATGACAATGGTTAACAACCCCACAACATGTCAACACTGTCCCTTCTCAACCTTGGGTTCCCTATTACCAGATTTCCTGTCCCCTCCTGCTTTCTAGTCCTTGTCCCTGGGCTGTTGTGACCCATTAGTCTCATTTTGTTTTATGGGGCTGTCTAATCTTTGGCTGAATGGTGAACAGAAAGTTTAAATTTTTGAACGAGGAGAACTTTTAGCACTAAAGATAATGGGAAACAAGGGTGCTTGATCAAAAGATGGTAAAAATGGAAGCTGGAAAATTCACAGCCTAAATCTGTAACCCTTCTTAATATGCATTTACATTCTAACATATTTATTTCTAAGTATAATATAAAAATTGTCTCTACAACGATCACGAAATGTAAGAGAATGAATACAAGGCTCACTTTGTTAAAAGAAGAACCTCCAGGAAGGGGAAAATGATGACAACTAGTTAGAAATAGTACTCATTTTCCAGAAATCTCTGGCTTACTTTCTGTTCTTTTTCTGACTTCCAAATACCTCTGGCTCCCTGTTCATTCTCCCGGCCTCGCTAATCGCTAATTCCTTTAGCCCCATTTAGTTTCCAAGTGTCCCTGGATGACCTTGCTCTTTATAATCAGAAAATCTTCTCTTCCAGATAATAATGTTCATGCCTCCAGCCTCTCTTAGTTTTTCTGGTTTCAAATAGATGACTACTACTTATCAACTTGTGAGAACATATATGCATTTACTTTAAAGTATAAATACAACACTGTACTTTTTTTGTTTTCATTGTGGTAAAACAAAACATTGGCCAATTCAACAATTTTTACACGAAAAATTCAGTGACACTGATCACATTCATTATGTTGTGCAACTATTTCCACTACCCTTTTCCAAATTATTCCACACACTATGTACTTTTTGGAGCCCTGGTGGTGCGGTGGCTAAGAGCTCGGCTGCTAACCAAAAGGTCAGCAGTTCGACTCTACCAGCTGCTCCTTGGAAACCCTATGGAGCAGTTCTACTCTGTCCTGTAAGGTCACTATGAGTGGGCATTGACTCGATGGCAACGGGTTTTGGTTTTATGTACTTTTTAAAATTTGTCAATTACAGATACGTAGATGATTATACTGTTTACTCTAATTTTTTTCTCGGATAATTCTACTTGGAGTCATTCCATCAGCTCCAACTAAACAAGTCCAAGAAGAAACTCCTTATGATTCCTCCGCAACTCAGGTTTTCCTTCTAACTACCCTTCCAGTGCTATCAATGTAATCCCAATTTGAGTCACTTTATACTCATTCCTCCTTTTTAACTCTTCTTCCTCGTTAGTGATTAAGTCATTCATTTTTCTTTCTAAATGATCTGTCCATTTCCAGTCACAATCACACTGTTCTAGTCTCAGGTGTCTACCTGCCTCATGTCTAGATAGGTTCCCCCAACAGTCTTCTCTGTGGCCCTCCAGAGTCCAAGACTTTGCAACACCAATATCAAAGCCAGATACATTTTATAGCTATAATAGCAAACATTTATTGAACAGGCACTGTGCTAAATGATTTACATGATCTCATTTAACACTCAAAACAACTCTATGAGGTACTATTATTTTCATTTTATATGAGAGGAAACACAGACACTGGGCGTTTAAGTGGACTGCCCAGGTCACAAGGCAAGTAAGAGATAAGGTCAGCCTTCACACCTATGCAGCTTGATGATAGATAACTCTGCCTTCTTGACTACTGCTCTATTCTGCCTCCATGCCAGTCCTCGGCTTTTAAGAAACTTCAGTGGTCATTTATTTCCTACCAACACATGTCTCAATTTTTCCTCTTAGCTCATGCAGCCCTCTATAGTTTTACATCATCCTGCCTATCCAACCATCTTTCCTACCACATTCAACATGTTTCTCCACATGCATCAAGCAAGGTTCCCCAAGGCCCCTGAACATCCCATGCTCATTTTCATTTCGGTGCATTTGTTGGAATTCTGCCTCACTCTTCTAATCTGGATTGTTTTCCCTTTTGCCTTTCTCTTCTAGCCCTACCCTGAGTCAAACGCCAAGTCTCACGTCCTTCGGGAAGCCTTCTCTAAAGGTGGTCGTGTTAAGTCTTGCAACTTAGCATTTCAGCAGCCATGACTCCAGTTGGTAACATGAAATTACATGACAGGATGGAGAAAACTATGCATTGCCAGTACCAAATCTACCTCATAGTCTTCAATAGCTTCTATTTTTTAAATAGTAGATTGATTTGTACATGCAATTAACCCGTTGCCATCAAGTCAATCCCAACTCACAGGGACCCTATAGGACTGAGCAGAACTGCCCGATAGAGTTTCCAAGGCTGTAATTTTTATGGAGGCAGACTGCCACATCTTTCTCCCAGAGAGGCTGGGGGTTCAACTCGCCGACCTTTTGATTAGCAGCTGAGCACTTAACCACTGCACCGCCAAGGTTCCCTGTACATGCATTAGAAATGATGAAATAGAGAAGTGGAAAGGTTTTATCCAAATGAATACTATGAGTGGAAATAAGAGTGTTTGGGATCCTTCCGAAAACAAGTGCAGGCACAGACCACCTCGTTTTGTGCACAGCACATTGAGTCAGTGACTAATCTGAGATTTAGCAGCTACTTAGACAACCAAACAGACAGATATAATGATAACTACAGTGGTACCAGTGCAAGGCTAGAAGTGGTGTTTTTTCTGACAGGCTTCTCAGAATTAAGATACTCATTTTTTAAAATTCTGTATTTTAAATATTAGTTTTTCAGTGTAAAATTTATAACATGAATTTACAAAACATCAGAGAAATATTCCAATTATGAGTACATTTTGGATGGTTATGCTATCTATAATAAAAATCAAACTAGTTCAGTTATATTCTATTAAATAAGTGAAATTAATAACCCAAAGTTAACAATTTTATATTACAGAATATATTTATGCCAAAATAAATACATAGTTAAGCTATTTTTTCTTAATTAATGCAGATATTTGTTGGAATATATAAATGCTGGGAAGGTGTAAAGCCCTCCATTACTAACCCTCTTGTCTTACTAATTGCGTAATTTACCTTGTCATCAGGAAGCACATGCCAAATAGATATTGTCTTTTCCTCGACTTCATTGTTGATAGACAAATAAGAAGGTTGGTAGATCTTGGTTGGTTCTAATATTAATACCTTGAAAACATAAGCAAAATAAACTAATATTAGTGATGTAAGATTTAAACCATTTACACCTGCTACAATACCAGCATTGACGTGGGAGATTAACAGATGAGGTTCTGCGTCCAGTGCTGGAGTAAAACCATTTTAATTTCTGATTGTTGCCATTCCTATGCAGCCTTCAACCATTTTATGGTGTTATACAACTATCATAAAGTCCAATAATACATCACCTTTTTCTGATAAAAAAATTGAAAGGAAAATTTTGTAATCCATATATTGGTTTGGCTGTCCCCAAAGAATCTACCAAGGATACCTTTCTAAAAGTTTTTTTTTTTATCATGTGAAATGTAATCTGCTTCTATAAATATAAATGTGTCAGAGAAAGGCAGACATATGGTAAAACAAATAATTCTGTGCACAGGAAAGACAAGACTCCATATATAGAATGTCACATACTTAATTTAACTTTTCAGCTATCATATGTTACCATAAAGATGCAGCAGTAAGGTCTTCCTATGCATGTAAATGGATTTAGAAATGATTCTTGGCTATTATTGAAAGAGCTTTATAGATAAACCAAAGGAATGAACACAGCTAGCTATATGAAGTAGCAAACATGTTTTTGCACTGTCTCCAAAATAAAACTGGCATTTTCAATAATGATATAGTTAGCTGTAAAGAGAAAAGAGAAATAAAACGTATGCCTATTTTGGTTATGTCAGAAGGGTATCATGTGTCTGCCTTTCACGGACACATTTATATTTATAGAAACAGATTACGTTTTACACGATAAAAAATAAACTTTTAGAAAGATATCCTTGGTAGATTCTCTGAGGACAGCCAAACCAATATATGGACTACAAAAATTTCTTTTCAAGCCCTGGTGGCACAATGGTTAAGAGCTATGGCTGCTAACCAAAAGGTCAGCAGTTCAAGTCCACTAGCCACTCTTGGAAGCTCTATGGGGCAGTTCTACTCTGTCCTATAGGGTCGCTATGATTTGGAATCGACTCGATGGCAACAGGTTTGGTTTGATTTTGGATGAAGGGTATACGATAAGCAAGTTGAGAATCTTCATGAAAAGACTGCATAACATTATATTATTACTAACATCTCATATTAGGAGCAAATAACCACACATGCCTTGATTTAAAAGATGCTGCAATTATTATCTAACTGTGCAAATGGTTGAAGGCACCTAACTGGCCAAATTTGCTATGTAGACTTCAGTAAGAATGCTAAAAATAATGGAAAGAAAAGCCAATATTCAGTCACCAGAGAAAGTGGAATGGTTCTTTGCACTCCACTGGTTAAAACTCAAGAAAATTACCTTTTAGAACTTGAATCAAGTAAGTTTTCCAAATAAAAGTGGAGGAAAAGACCTTCAGAAGACTCTGACAGCAAGGAATCAGACCCACACAATACGTGATAACCTAAAAGTGCAGCCTAAGCAAGAAGGCACGCGAATCTGGGTTAGAAAATTTATTCTTGGCCATAAACCACAAACCCAGTGTATTTATTTTACTCTAAATTTATCACTTCAGTAAATTTACTTAAGCTAAGGCACAGAGAACTAGAGAAAGGGGACTAGAAAAACAAAATTTTCTTTACTTCAAGTACATAAAACTGTAAGGGCTCAAAGAATTCTCAGCCAGGCTCTAGCTATAAAAATAAGCAAGATAGGATATACCACAAATAAACACACAGTAAACACCCACAACGAAACATATTTGCTTCAGGAACATACACTTACCAGGTGAATCAAGGCCTAAATCCCACTCAATAGAGAAATAAGTGGCACTGATTAATAATGAAAATCAATTTTCAATCTAAACTTAGCAGAAATGGTACTCTCAAATTGAAGTATCCCAGTGTTTGTGAATTTAAAAACAAATAACACTGAATAAAGTGTGGGTTTCCCACAATATCATCTAAGTCTCTACAATGACAAATGAGAATATACCGTTTTCCCTAGTTATGTGGGTATATTATTTTACATTAGAAAAGCACAGCTCCAGATTATCTCCTGTCTTCTTAAAATATGTCTTTATTGTCACCTCAAATATTTCTAATAGATAAAATCTGAACTATTTGTTCCTATCTTGAGACAGAGAGTAAAAACAAAGTTGCAGTTATCATTATATAAAGTTTTTTGAGCCCTTTGATCTACCCTTGAAATAACAAGGCATGAAGGATTTCTAGCAAGCACTACAGAGATCACAGAAAGGCTGGGGGTGGGGGGAGGGGGAAGGAAAAGTAGGTAATCTGACAAAACCAGAAAGCTAGATACAGCTCATTTAGGAGTATACATACTTTCTTGCTTTTAATTTCTAGTCTTTTATATTAGACAATACAACTATTAACTGCTAACTTCTTATGTATGAAGCAGAAAGATAGCAAGGCCTATAAAGGGTACATATTAACTAGGGTTTCATGCCTAAGTTTCTACAGTGAGTAGAAGACTCTACAGAGTCTTCAAAAGCACCACACACCTCCTCTTCCTCTCTCCTCGCATTAAGTGATGGGCTGATACTCTCCTAACTTTTCAATGTAGGAAGGAAAGAAAATATACAAAGAAGAAAGGTGAGAGAAAAGAGTAAACCCAAAGTGAACCCAAATAATAATAAATGATCCAATCATTCAAATCATTTCACAAATAAGCTTTCATCTGCTTCCTTTTGCCCAGGTTCATGGTTATTTCTAGAAGGAATGAGAAAGGATATGGTAGTGAGATAAATGGAAACAATCAAACTAGTCAATATTTTCTAAAATCAGTCATGGTAGTTTTTAGTCAGATCCACTTCAAAATTAAGATAATGTCATCGCTCCAATCAAGACCTATTGCAGCCTTCACAAGTGTGAGCCACAAGGAGATGCTACTTGAGGACAAGATGAGTTATAGTAGCTAATATAGCACCACCAGTACTAGAGGCCTTTCTCCATGCTGTGCACCAGGAGTGACAAATCCCAACGATTGCCATGGGTGTGTTTGGTAGGGAGGTAAATGAGTGCAAGAGAGATGGATGGAACTGTAATTAACATCTAAAATGACATCTGCTACTTGGCTCAGTAGACAACTTGCCACTCCCTTCAATTTTTCAATAGTTGAAAATTTACATTTTATGTGAATTCTCCTTATTTTTCACTTGATTTTATTAATAAACTACTTTTCAGTTTAAATACTCCTTCTTTTCATCCATTATGTCTATCTTTTCCTCTAAAATCTTAATTAACTATTTGAAGTTATTATCTGCTGATTCCTATATGTGGCTCACCTCTGGGTCTGCCTCTATTGGCTATTTTAGCTCTTCATTACCAGTCACTTTTTTCCTGCTTCTTAGAATGCATAGTAATCTTTGATTACTGGTCATGTGAATGACACATTATAGAGTGTACGGATTATATTTTCCCAGAACACTGAGGTATTTTTTTCTGGCTAGTAGTGACATTACCAGTGTATCACCTTGATCCTGTTGAGGTCTAGTTTTATTTAGGCTTTGTTAGGATTTTAGTTTTGCCCTTATTCTAGGACTTGGGCTTTCTGTGTCTCAACTAAATGCTTGCGGTGTTCATCAAAGTCTCTTTACTACAGCTGGGCTGGAAGTCCAACATCTTATCCCTGCATTGTTCAAGCTCTGGAATCTCTGTTCAGCTTCCAGCCTCCCAAGAGCTGCCCTCTGCCAGGCCTCCTAAAGCTTACCCCTTGCTCATACAATCTGGGAGTTGGCCTAAGATTCAAGAGAAATACCCAGGCAAAATCCTGGGATTCACAGTACATGGCTCTCCTTCTCCAATACTCTTCCACCCATATTCTTGCTGCCTTAGAGCCCCAAACACTGATCTCTGCCTCCTCTGCCTAGGTAGAATGACACTCCCTACTAGGGCTCTCCCATGCTGCAGTCAGAAGAATGACCTTAGGGAAAAAGACTGAGTGAATGTGAAGCTCAACTTAAGTACCTTCTCTTTCTAAAAGATCGCAAATCTGCAATGATTGCTGTCTAATGCCAGCAAATAGTTGTTTTAATTATTTTTGTCCAGATTTTATAGTTATTTACAGCAACAGGGTAAGCTCAACCTGATTTACTTCATCATAGCCAGCACTGAAAGTCCAAGTCTTTTTATTCTCTTTTTTTGATTGCTGAATGGTCTTTTAAACATACAAACTTAATCATATGCATATCCTCACACATAATAAGAGAAATATTAATTGAAATGACCCTGATATACCATTTTCCACCTACCAGTTTAGCAAAAGTATAAGTCTGATAAATACATTTTGTTGTAGAGACTATGTTGCCAGTGAGAATGTCAATCTTATGAAGGACAATAAAGAAATATCAATCAATTCCATTCCCGGGAATTTATTCTACAGATGTATTTGCACGTGTGCAAAATGGTATACAAACAAGGGGTTTCAGTGCAGCATTATTTATAATAACAAAATATTGGCAGACGTCCACCAATAAATGATGTTTATTACCGTGGTGAGATGGATCGCTTTCGTGTGGCCTTTATAGCCATGGTTCTTGTAATCTCACCCAAGTGATTGGGTGGGACCATGCAATAAGGTCTATGGAACGCTAACAAAGGGATTGGTCAGTTTTGTCATCTTGCTAGGCTTAAAATGAGCCATCCCAGGGGCGGGAAGTAGAAGCTCTCACCACCAAGAATGAACAGCCAGGAGTGGAACATGTCCTTTGGACCCGGGGTTCCCGCGCTGAGGCCCTCCTAGACCCAGGAGACAGAACTGTAACACCAAAGACAGCAAGACGGCAAGAAGCAGCCACAGAGAAACAGCAGCAGCAGAGGCAGCAGAGGCAGCAGAGGCAGCAGAACCAGGAGACTGGCAGGAGAAGGCATGGTGGGCTTTCCATCCCACAAAGTGAGAAAGCAGAGTGCCTTCAGGCAGGAGGCTTGCTGGTGGCATAGGGTGCCTCCGGGCATTTGGTGGAGCTGGGCTTACTGATCCACAGAGCTACAGCTGACTGCCTCTGGGTCGAGGCTTATTGGCAGAGTGGGGTACCTCGGGGCACTTATCAGCAGAGCCAAAAGAGCTTTGTAACACTTGCCCAAGCAGGGCAGAGGCTGAGAGGCCAGAGAGAGGTGGCTGAGAAGACGCTGTCCTGATGGAAGAACTGTATCCTGAGTATTCATGAACCTGAAATGTACCTGTTACTTCCCTAATAAACCCCATAATCATGAGTATTGTCTGTGAGTTCTGTGTGGCCATTGCAATGAATTATTGAGCCCAGCAGGGAAGTATAGAGTGCTGTGGGAGGGACTGTTGGTGTCAGAATTGGTAAAGATGGTGGAGAGAGGAGCCATGTCTGACCTTCACCTTATAGGAATCAGCCTTGGGCTGTTGACCTTGATTTTCCTCCTCCCTTGTGAAGTTACAGGAGGTCAGATGCCGCCACCATGTTATTTTTACAATTATATATATTATATGAATTTACTTGACAAAATAAGTTAAATAAGTTATGGTATGTTGATACATTGGAATACTATGCAGTTGTTAAAAAAAAAAAGAATGAATAAGCTTTCCATGTAATAACTGAAAAAATCTCCATGACATATTACTCAGTGAAAATAAGCAAGGTATAGAACATGTAATATTCCTCCTTAAATGAAAAAAAAAGGAGAAATAATAAGAATAATAGTTAATATTGATACTCTGCTGACTAAGAGGTCAGCAGCTTGAATCCACCAGCTGCTTTTTGGAAATCCTGTGGGGCAGTTCTACTCTGTCCTATAGGGTCGCTAATAGTTGGAATCGACTCAGTGGCAATGGGGTTTTGACTACATGCCAGGTACCATTCCAATAGTTTTAAATATATTAACTCATTAAATCTTCATCATAACCCTATGAGTTAAGTACTACCCATTTTGTAGATTAGGAAACCAAAGCTCAGAAAGGTTAAGTAACTTGCTCAAGGTTACACAGCTATTAAGTGGCAAAGTGGGACAGAACTCACGCAGACTGGCTCCAGAGTTTACTACACAATAAAAGGTTCTCTATATTCTAAATTTATACCAAGAGAAAGAAACTGTGGGAAAATATGTAAGAAACTAATAATAATGGTTGCCTGGTATAAGCAATATACCATAAATATTTTTACTACACTCTACACAGAGATCTCAATCAATTTGCTTAATAGCTACATGACATTCTAAACGTTACTGTGTTGTTACTTGCTGAATCATTCCCCTATCCATAGGCACTGTTTCTTGATTTTTGCTTCTACAACTGAGGCAGCAATAGAAAATTAGTGTAGGATAAATTTGTTTCTATAAGTAGGATTGCTGGTTAAATATATACACTTTTAACTTTACTAGATACTGACAGATTACTTTCTTAGTGTTCTTTTTAAAATTCAAGAATAAAAAACCCATTGCCACCAAGTCAATTCTGACTCATAATGACCCTACAGGGCAGAGTACAACTGCCTCCACAGAATCCCAAGGCTGTAATTTTTACAGAAGCAGACTGTCACATCTTTCTCCTGTGGAGCAGTTGGTAGGTTCGAACCACTGACCCTTCAGTTAGCAGACGAGTGCTTAACAACTGCGCCACCAAGGCACCTCAAATTCGAGGACATAGGATAATACAACAAACATCTATGTGCCTATCACACACAAAGTATTAATATACTGTCATATCTGCTTTAAAACTTTTTTTAAAAAAATGAAATGTTGCAAATAAAGTTGAAATCCCCCATGATCCCCTACACAATCCCATCATGTTCTTCCTTAGATGATTTTCTAAAAGAAATTTAGGAATTCCATGTCCATCAGTAATCTATAAACATGTTCATGTCCCCATATCTTTGCTAGCTGTTGCAAACTTTTTAATTTTTTCTAGTCCAATGGGCAAACAAAAAACATTCTCATTTTAATTTGCCTTTCCTTGACTACCTAGTAAAGTTAATTATCTTTTTGTATGATTTACCCATTTATCTTTTTTTGTCTTATCAATTTGTAGGAGTCTTTTTGTATATTGGTCAATTAATCATTTGGGAGTAATATTTTCTCCTTGTGTAGCATTTTTCCATTTGGGTTGCTTATGGTGTTTTTTTAACGGAACAAAAATTTCAATTTTTTTATGGGCTCAATATTTTCCTTTGGGCTTATAGGCCCCTTTCTTGCCTAAGGAAGCTTCTTTCACCTGGTGGTTATATCTACATTTTCATCACTTCTTTCTTAATATTTTCTGGTTTTAATTTTTACATTCATTTACTTATACTGTGACAAATTCATTCATATTAGACTAATTGGAATTAGCTCAGAACAGCTAATATGAGTGATTTCCTTTCATAGCTAATTTTCTAGTTAGTCAATAGTCAATTAAGTACATCAGCCCTGTGCTCTCTTTTTGCACCCAATACTACTACTCAGAGCACCAGCTAAAGGTCAGCTGCCAGCTCTCTCTAGGATATGTCTTTTTCTAGGCTAGAAAATAACCTAGTGTTTCAGTTGGAAAGGCTTTTCAATTAAAGATCTTGCTGAGCTTAAGGTTTCATCTGGAAGCAAGAGTAAAGAAATCATGTTAATGCCAGTAATGGATTTAATTAAATGAAGCAGATGATCCTATCGACAAGAACTAGCAAACAACATTTTACAACAATAATTGAGACTCGTCACCACCTCTGAGTATTGAGACTAGAGCGCTCATTCAGAGAGATTTATGGTATCACTCTGAGTGCTAAGAAATTTGTGTACACACTGAGTTGCCAGTAATTCTCAGACTGGACACCAAAGCCATACTGCTTTTGACGGTATTCTGAGAAGTATCAGGATGGGGTCGGCACCAGCTGAGAAGATGGACAATATATTAAAATATATACATTGCAGCATCACTCACAATAGCCAAAAGGTGGAAACCAATACATGAAATTTCTAGAATAGGCAAATGCAAAGAGACCAAAGTCTATTAGTGGTTACCAGGGGCAGGAGGGAGAGCGGAAACAGGGGGTACTGCTTAAGGGGTACTGAGTTTCTGTTAAGGGTGACGAAAAAGCTTGGAAACGTACAGTGGTGATGGTAGCACAACATGGTGAATATAATTAATGTCACTGAATTGAACACATAAAAATGATTGAAATGGCAAATGTTCTGTTATACATATTTCATCAAAATAAAAAAATATATGCATGTGTGTCTATCGATCATTTAAATATACATATATTTAATTTCCACTAAAAAAAAAAAAGAAACCCATTGCCATCGAGTCAATTACGGCTCATAGCGACCCTATAGGATGGAGTAGAACTGCCTCATACGGTTTCCAAAGAGTGGCTGGTGGATTCAAACTGCCGAGCTCTTAACCACTGTGCCAATGTCCACTAAAGACCAACCAAAATGAATTGCAGACCAGAATCTACGAGTCATCATTTCTCATGGTCTAAAAGTACTGTTTGGAATCAACTCAACGGCAATGGATTTAAAAGTACTGTAAAAGTGACCAGGGATACTACATATAACTCTGACCCACATGGGTAATGAGTGGCAGGCACGAAATAAAAACGCAGGTGGGCCTGATACTTTTCACCACAATAGTCGTGATGATATTGATGAGATATTGATACTGATCATCAAAATTGCAGCATTAATTAAAAACATCCGCCTGTCTGGTCTGAAGAGACATCTTGACTTGCTGAGTTAACTTACTGAGAAACTTGGGAAGCACACTTTATCACTTATCAAAAGAAAACACACACAGTTCTTGGCAAAGAGAAACATAACAAGGTCTCTCATTTCTCCGATTTTGAGAAGTTATTTTAAAAAGCAAGCAAATGCATACCAATTTGCAGAAAATAAACACATTAACCACATGATTGTCATCTTAGGACATGAAAATCAGCACACTAATACTGTTACAGTCAGAGTACAAGAAGTTCCTTAAATAAAAGAAACAAAATTAGAAATCTACTTAGCATTAAATGAAGAGTACTCACAGGAAACCTAACTACAGTAACATCTGTCTTTGTGGCCTCGACCAGGAAATCCATCCAGAAGTCCACAAGTTCCTGCTTCACCACAGGCTGTTCTGTGGTCAGTTTTGCAAAATGCTTATATATCAAAATTGTCTCTACAATAGACTTGAGGTACCTAAGAATTAAAAAACATACAACATATAACAGCCAAATTTAGAACCACCAGTTCCCATGTATCCCAGGATCCTTCTCTAAATGTAATTTAAATCTGGCATTAATAATTATGCATTCAGAGTCACCAAACGTTTATTCATTGTCTATTACATACCATGTACTTTACCACATCATCTCATTTAAATCTCACAAAAATTCAGTAAGGTAGGCCATTTTTATCCCTGCTTCCTAGATGAGGAAACTGAGGCTTAGAGAGCATAAATAACTTGAACTGGAATTATACATCTACTTAAAATATGACTTTCAAAGTAATGCCTATATTCTATTGAAGGATGTGGTTAATGCATTTGTTTTAACATCTGCTTCCTTAAGGAAGCTTTCCTAAATAAACTCTTCGTAAGAAATTCTTATTTTGCTCTGAAGTCACTCAGCTTATATATTCTACAAATACTCTTAAACTTAGTTAAGACTGATGGTGCCTTGAAGGAAAAAGTTACGAAAATGAGAAGCAATGAGGTAATGGGTATGCAAGCATTTTGTAAATTATAAACATAGAAGTTAACATTCCATAAACATTAAGAAAATGAAAACTCAAGGCATTGTTTGGTGGTGGTTATTACTACTGTATTATTGTTGTAGCAAATGCTACAATAATGAATAAATGATGTTCAAAGTCATGAGAACCTATAATCAACACATTTTCTTTATAAACATCTCATTTTCCTCTAGATTCTGCATTTAATTCCGTAAGTAAATAAAATAACCTAATTTCCAGTCCAATAAACATAATTTGGGAACAAGTGATAGGCACTGTTTGTGAAAAATAATTGTTGTATAAATGTGTAACATAGTAAAATATTACCATGCTGGTGTCTTCAGTTTAAAAAGCTTTTCAGATGCTTGAATGACTCTCAAGTGGTCATTGGCCAGGACACTGGCCCCCAGAAAAAATCCAACTTCCCAGTAGCTCTGGAGTTTTTCCAAGTTTCCCTTTTTACCAAGAAGGCTACTTAGCTTCACGCCTAAAAGATGAACGAAAAGGAAGTACAGTGTTACAAACACAAAGTTGGCAGGCAGAGCCGCCTTTTGTTAAGGAAAATTAAGCTTTCATTTCTCCTTTCAGATTAAAATAACGTCGTTAATTTTCTAATCATAAAAGTGGTTTAAGCTTAACACACACACACATATATTTGTTAACAATGGACTGAAACATAGCAATGATTGTGAGGATGATGCAGGACTGGGCAATGTTTCATTCTGTTGTACATAGGGTTGCTGTAAGTCAGAACTGATATCAACAGCACCTAACAACTATAAATATATATGTGTGTGTGTGTGTGTTTGTGTGTGTGTGTGTGTCTATGTATGTATATGTATATATGTATAATCAAAAAACCAAACCCGTTGCCGTTGAGTTGATTCCGACTCATAGGGACCCTACAGGACAGAGTAGACCTGCCCCATAGGGCTTCCAAGGAGCGGCTGGTGAATTCAAACTGCTGACCTTTTGGGTAGCAGCTGAGCTCTTAACCACTGATATGTATATAATATATATATGTG